ACGCTAGAGTAGACTCGCGAAAAGTGTATAAGACACTTTTAAGATCAACTAAATAGCTAAGCCCAAGGGAAGTCGTTCGGGGAGGCCCTCCCTAATTCCACAAGGGTGAGAAGAAACACACACGATAACGAAACGTTGAATCATGTAGAACTCGTAGGGTAAATGCAAAGCAAATTAGGAAGAATATGCAGTAAGCTAAGCGAAGAGGTAAGCAAGGTTAGACTATACTACAACTACTAAACGTGTTATTTCTACTACTACACTACTACTACATACAAAAAAAAAATAAAAACATCTACAATCAACAATTACTTCAAATTAAATGAACAAAAGTAAGCATGCAAATTAAAAACTAATTCAAATGAAATAAACTACGAAAAAAAAACACGCAAAGTAAAAAACTAATTTGAATAAAATGAACTTGAATTCTATTACAGAGCATGCAAGATAGAGAACTATTTTTACTAAGGGGTCATCTTTGTCTTCTCCAACGTCGATCTGAAACAGATACGGTGGTAACAGATTAATAAGGAGCAATTAAAATTAATTATATCAAGTATTCTCACCTTAATTAACTGTAGACCGTAATTTTCCAAAGTTTGCAGGTGTGAAAAGCAAATCAAATCCAAGAGGAATGCCAATGCAGAAAATTTCTTATTTCAGTGGAATTCACATAAGTCTTCGGTTGCTCTCACTCATCACTTGAAAATTAACTGCATAATGCTGCAAGGTGAAGACGAAAACGGCAAATAAAGAATGTAGTCCACCAAAACATTGTAGATATTGTTTCAGTACCATCAGCCTGAACTTTAATTCTCTCCCATTTGTCAGACGAACTGTAGAGATGGACAAAAAAGAGTATTAGTTACACAATTAATTAAAAAAGGGATTTAAATTAAGTAAAACATGCACAAAATCCCAAGTAAAACACCTAAATTATAAAATGGCGACGAGATGTCAACTATATCCATGTCACAGATAGAAATAATCGTAGATACACGAAGTCAATTTATACAGTGGACAATAGATAACTGTTAGAAGTAAAACCATAGATGTTACAGGTGGCAAATTACTATGAAAACTGAGGAACTTCAAAACAATAGTTCACCTTGAGGATCACTATACGGTGCTCGAGTTTTATTCCTAAGTGCTGACAAAAGAGAAGTGCCTCTTAATTGTAAATGCTGATGAAAGGAAATAAGTGGAATAAGCCACATCGCACCGGAATCTTCCTTTTATGCATATATTTTCTGGAAATTGCACCTTCACGCCCAAGGGGAGGGAAAATTAAAGGGCTCTACTTCTCCAGGCTTTGAGTCCTTATTTTCTGTCTGTTCTGTTCATTTCATACGTTTAAATGCATCCTGTTGAAACAATATTATGTTATAATATAAGAACAAAGGGTTTTACGGCCGGAATCAATAGTAGAATGAAGATTCGGGCTATAGGGCCGTGGTCTAAGTGAGCTATTCTGTCCAGACGTTTCGTCAGCTACTGCGGCTGACATCCTCAGTGGTAGTGATGCGTTGACAACGTGAACGTAGATTAAATCTCGAAGTCTCGACAGCGACTGGGTGTCGCTGTCGCCAGGATGTCTTCTGTCTAGGCAGAATAGTTCACTTTGACCACGGCCCTATCGCCCGAATCTTCATTCTAATATTATGTTAGCTTCATTTTAAATATCATGTTTTAAAATATTTAAGATCCATAACTTCCACCAACTATTATAATTTACAAGTGTAAAAGCTTATAGTGGTAATTATTGTCAAACAAATGGAGTAATAGATTTAGAAAATCGCATCTATTTCATAAATACAACTTCATAAAATATTTAAAGATTTCTTACCCTTTCCAAGCTCAAGAGAAAGAAGCGTGATTGGGGTTCTGCTTCCTTACGTTTCGTGGCCATTTGATTTACCCTCTCCCTGTACATTTATTATGATTTAATGGAAACCTGTTGAAACAATTTGATATTAGTTAAATATCCAGTAGATTTTTTATTACAATTCACAAGTGTAAAAGCTTATAGTGGTAATTATTGTCAAACAAATGGAG